AGCTGTGATCGATAAATGCGATGACAGGGTAGAGTGGCGACGAGGGCAATGAAGGCACGAGAATGTAGTCATCGTGGCATTTTACAACGCTCAAAGCGGTCGCTGTAACTGCTGAATCTCCCATGATAAGGATTCCGTCTTTGAGACGAGCCCCTAAAGCACGTACTCGAGGCTTGAAAAGGTACAAGATGCAGAACTTGTTTTTCAGCTCATCCAGTTGTGCCGCGACCTTCCGATAGTGTGCTTCATGCTTTTTCGGTCTGTAAATGAGCTAGGCTTGACGGCTTTCAACCCTCAGCTTTTCTTCTGAGACGGATCATCGTTCAGTATATACCTCGCCGCCGAGACGTGAAGCGTGGTACCAAGCTGCAGGCTGAGCTCGATGGTATTAACAAGCAGGACGGCATCAAGTTCTTGGAGGGGTATCTGCAATAAATCAGTGTTGGACCAGATCGTGATCTCCATGACGATGAAGTACAAGCTAAAGCACAAGCTTCGGAAGCTAGTAGATGGACTCGTGATCCGCGTCAAAGGCGATCAAAAGGAAGCTGCGACTACTCGTGCTGTGAACGGTGACCGCGACGCTGCTGTCGAAGCAACGAATGTCAAGGAAGCCGGTCAGGAGATCATTGAAATGAAGAATAAAGTTCGACACGGACTCGAAACTCAGCTGGGAGATATCAAAGGCCATGAGCACAATCATCCAACGGCAGCTTCATGATCTTCAGTACGTACTCGGACGACAGCCTTCAATCAACATTGCCACAAAGTAGCTTTATGGTTGTGATGAAAGAAAAGGTGGCGGCAAGAAGGTGCCACACGCTACGGACTCGTCAAGTCTGGATAAATCTATGGCACCCGTCAAGACGTTCTATCACAAGTGCGTGATGTCGTTACACTCTGTTGCTATAAAGTCTTCTCGTTCTTGATTACAACGTCAAGAACACTTTGAATGCATGATCATGATTTCTTTCTTATCAAGACTAACTTTAACAAACTTACACAATGCTATAACTTTGAGACAAGTTATAGCATTGTGTAAGTCTTTCAATAGCTACCTCAACCTCACCGCTTCAAATGTGACAGCCATACCAACATGTTGTGTACTGACGTGTACTTACTTGACTGAATCGCCAGCAATCGTAAGCACATCAGCGTTGTCTACTAGGGTCGTGGTGGAGGTTCTGGTGTCACGTGGCTAATCCTCTTTCTTTGTTCCTTCCTCAAGCGTGTTAGATGAATCATGTGCTTTTTTACCTGCACCACCAGCGTCATCCCCAATTTCGCCGACCAAGCGAGAGGTGCCACTTTCTCCACCTTGGGCCGCGTTGACGACATCATTTGCTCCTTCACCAGTAAGTGCGTTATTCTTTGCACCACTCTTTGGTTGTTTCAATAGTTCGGCGAATTTCTTCATTATCATTTTCATACTTTTTCCTGGTATTTTAGGCACAACGACGTTATCTCTTTCATTAATACCAACACCCCCATCAGCGACAGCATTTTCTTTTTCTGTGATGGAATGTACAGAATTTGAGTTCCCTGTCACTTCACTTGTGGTCGCCTCGGAGACAACATTCGTGTTTGGAACATCATTCCCTCCTTCACCAAGTGGTGGTCGAGAATCGGCAGAATTCGTAGTTGGCACTGGCTTCGTCTTGCGGTTGAATATGCTTAATGCACTGTTAATTTTGTTGTTGAGAGCTTGACGTGACTTTTTCAAAAAGGTCGGCGATTTCTTTCCAACGTTGCCTTCTTCAGTCGTAGCTGAAGCCCGCAAGCTAGCGGCATCGTTTTCTCCTTCACCAGCATGTATTTCAGCATTTTCACCACTCTTTGGTTCCACAACATTTTCTTCTGCGACTGGTTGCACTGGTTCGTGTTCCCCTGTCATTTCTTTCGTCGTTTCAGTTAAAGTGTCGGCAGAATTCGTAGTTGGCACTGGCTTCGTCTTGCGGTTGAATATGCTTAATGCACTGTTAATTTTGTTGTTGAGAGCTTGACGTGACTTTTTCAAAAATGTCGGCGATTTCTTTCCAACGTTGCCTTCTTCAGTCGTAGCTGAAGCCCGCAAGCTAGCGGCATCGTTTTCTCCTTCACCAGCATGTATTTCAGCATTTTCACCACTCTTTGGTTCCACAACATTTTCTTCTGCGACTGGTTGCACTGGTTCGTGTTCCCCTGTCATTTCTTTCGTCGTTTCAGTTAAAGTGTCGGCAGAATTCGTAGTTGGCACTGGCTTCGTCTTGCGGTTGAATATGCTTAATGCACTGTTAATTTTGTTGTTGAGAGCTTGACGTGACTTTTTCAAAAAGGTCGGCGATTTCTTTCCAACGTTGCCTTCTTCAGTCGTAGCTGAAGCCCGCAAGCTAGCGGCATCGTTTTCTCCTTCACCAGCATGTATTTCAGCATTTTCACCACTCTTTGGTTCCACAACATTTTCTTCTGCGACTGGTTGCACTGGTTCGTGTTCCCCTGTCATTTCTTTCGTCGTTTCAGTTGGTTTGACAACACTATCTTTTTCTGCGTCGGGACGTGCTATTTTCGGCTCAGTTGTTACGTCTTTATTGTCAAGATGAGGTGATTCTTCTTTTCCTGTCACTTTTTGCGTATCCACTCCTTCTTTCATATCTGTCACTTTTTGAGTCTCTGACTCTTTGTTTGTGGCTAAAGGTGTTGTTGACTCTTTAGCTTTTGCGTCGTGTTTCGGGGCTCGATGTAATCTCTTGAGTTGCTGTTGAAATCTACCGTAGATCTTCTTTAGGAGAGCTATAAACTGCTTCATAGCAGACGAAGAGTAGCCTTTCATCTTCTCCAAAACGCCTATTTTCTTGGCCATAACATCGGCATTGGAGAGTTTCGGCCCCGCCTTTGATTTTTTCTAACGTCTCTATGACCTTTTCAAACAACTCGGCCTCGCCTGTGCGCATCCTCTCTTCCACGTCTTCGATCCCAGTCTCGACCACCCCTTTCCTTAGCTTGCGACCTCTTCCATCCGTCCGCTCGCGTTGAGAATTCGTATCCACGGTCTTGACTTGGATCAAGTCTTTTGAGCTTGCGACGATACTGTCGCAAGCGATGCAGGTGAGAGTCACGAGCAGGAGAAACAAGCTCAAGCGCATGGTTTGTCTGGGTCTCGTCTGATTCGGGAATGAACAACTTTGAAGTCAACGGGTTCTTGGGCTTTTCAATGGACACACGGAAATGTTACAGATGCTCGTTGAATACCATTAGGTAGAGTATTGGATTACCAGAATACTATATCAATTGTCATAGCTATCCTACAACACGACGGTGGCTACGACTCTTTTCCTCTATTTACTTACATTTCTATGGATGCCTGGCGCTGTGACTTGTGTGCCAAGCGCTTTTCCTCCTTCGATCGATCTTCGGATCCGATTTGATACGTATCTCCTTCCCGGGAGACTTCTATTCTTTTTTCTGACAGGGACTGATCGCTTCGTCTCCTACTGTCTTTTGCTGCCAAACCTGGCATGAAACAACAATTATGATTGTTTTTTGGATGCTTTCTAAAGGTGTTGAAGCTATATGTTGTATCAGGAACGATAGATGATACAAATTCAGATGCACTTGATTGATAAAGTGATGAAATGGACCCTAAAGGATAACAAGTTTGGTTGTACATTCTGTAAGAAAGCTCCTATACGAGTGAAAATACGTGGCTGTTGATAAGCCATGACTTTGAGGGAAATGACTATCGGATGGGGTCGCGAGTCTATCTAAGTTTTGTGAAGATAATGTCAATGCATCTCCCTCCTGCTTCGCCCAACTTATACTTATAAAAAGCAAGATATAATGCCAGTAGTATTATTTACCCATCATGCTATCATGCTCTGCCTAGCTGATAAAAAAAGCACGGATGGGACTCTTGATGTCTCATAGATCTTGAGATCTGTTCACATTTGCTTGGAATTCTGACCCTTTCGCTTGGAAGTTTTATGCTTGCGGACAAGCTTGTAAGCAATTTTACGCGTACTTTTCTCCTAGTCTATTTCATCCAATCCGATTATCTTAAGGCAAAAACAAACATACCGGATTGGTTGATATTAAGTGCGTCTTTCGTCGCCTTTCAATATACAAAAGACCTAATGTCAGCCATGGCCACGGGGTTTATGAACGCCTTCCAGGTGCTGACTCCCGTGCGGAATTTTGGCGTAGGTAAGCGAGTTACACGTGGTATTTGGTCCAAATATGCAGAGCCTTCTTACTGGGAAGTGGTGCGCATTCTTCCATCCCCCGACCTCAAACACGGCAAAGTCTTTGGCAGATTTACGTTTCGTGGTGCGTTGAAATGAAAATTCTGAAGGATGTTTGACATTATTTGACTTGATATTTGTATGGGTATTGAACAGGCAAGACGGATTCTAAAGTAAAGCGGATGAATGGCGTCTTGAAGAAAGATTGGAGTTTGATCGAGATGTAAACAGTCTTATCAAATGACGTCTTGTAACTCCGAAACTACAGTTGATAGATTGATGAGTATGAGAGAATGGATGGGAATACTCAATGAGGCAATCGATGCCGGGGTATTTTGTCATAGTAGCAATGTTCTCTATAGTTGTTTAGTTGGTTTTCTAGGAGGTTAAAGCATTGCTTGATACTTCAACAATATTGTGACGTTCCATGTCCAGCGACTTTGCACGAAGCGACTCAGCTTCTAGAGTAGCCACATGGAGATTTATCAGGATTATGGGCTCGTTTCAGCGTTGAGACATACTCTGTATCAATTGATCTGCATTCCTTGGTCGCCGACTATTCCTCGAAGCATGAAACTGCCACGTTTAGCTCGAATTGTTATCCGAAGGCGACATGGTGCCCATCTCGCCCGTACAAATCGCCACAATATGGACGACAAGTGCGTCGTCATGTATTGTCGCAAGACCAGATATCTGATCTTCAAGTCGTGCTAAGGGAGTGACGACAAGCTCGTCCGTCTGTTCCCATTTGCCACTCAGTTTAATAATAATAACCTTTGACTAATGCTCCTTCGCACGCTATTCGGCGCCTTTTGTCTCTACTGTGTATCATGGACCGGTAGCTCCGGTCTTTCGACCATCACGAACTCTGCAGATCTTGCAGCCGTTGAATTGTCGACCAAAGTCCACGTGCTACTGGTTATGAGGACGAAAGACGAGACGCAGGAACAAAGTCTGGAGGAGCTGGTGACCACGGCATATCCGGCTCTGCTGGCTATCGAGAAGGAACTCGAGGGACTTGTCACCTTTAGTGTCGTCGATATTGCGTCCCATAAAGTTTCGTTCGGCAACAAGTGGCAGCTGACAAAGCTCCCTGCACTCGTACTGTACAAAGATCCACCCAAGGAGAACCCCTACACTGGGAAATTGTATCGAGATGCAATGAGAATAGACTCTGCGATGCTTGAGAATCCAAAAAAGCTCAAAAGGACATTGAAACAAGCGATACCGATGGAATTTGTACAGGAACTTAAAGGTGACGAAACGACGTTCCTAAACTTTGAGAAGTTGGTGCAACAAAAGGTTGACGACGAGGAGACGTTGGTATTGTTTTTTTCAAAGCAGAAACACGCGTCCCCGATGTATCGAGCTTTGGCTGCAGAATTTAATGACCAAGGACTGAGTTTTGTGTTCTTAAACAAAGAGGAGAAAGGAACGGAGGAGATTATGAAGATGTTAGTGGTGGAAGAGCTGCCGGTTATGATGGTAATGAAATCCATGATAGAGTATGAAGTGTTAAAGGCACAGAACTTGAAGACGTACAATGAATTCAAGGGTTTCGTGAAGACTTTTGCGACGCACAAGAGAAGTGGAGGTTATGCTGGAGAGAAGAGGAACAAAGGAGGGAAGAAGAATCTATTGTATATCAAGTTCTTTACAGAAAAAGAATTTGACGACTTGGTCATGCAGCCGGATGTAGTTTGGATTATTGAGTTCATGGATTTGGAACGCGAGATGGCTATAACAGAAGACGAGTGGAAGAAAGCGTTAACCGAGTTGCATCGTAAGGCAGGTGTGGTGGCGATGGGTGCAGTCAGCTGCGAGAAGGAAGCAGAATTGTGTGAGCGTCATGGTGGGCCTGGTGTTCGTATTTTTCCGCTGGGGCTTACTCATGACAAGAAATTGAAACGTGATGGTGTCCTTGCTCAAACGTTTACAACAATTGATGAGGCAAAAGAGACTTCTATTGCAACGATTCCCGACCTCACTGTTACGATCGCGTCTTCATCTGACTTAAATGCATTCATCTCCCATGCTCGAGAAAATCACGCATTGCCTGTCTTGCTCTTTACCACCAAGAAGACTACCCCGCCAATGATAAAGGCTCTTCTGCTGTCTGTCCCGACACAAAAACTCATGTTAGCAGTTATTCACGATGCTGACGAAGATTTGAGAGAGCGATTTCTAGTAAAGTCACCTGCAAGCACTTCACTGGTATGCCTGGTGCCAACCCAAGTCAACTTGGACGACTCAGCCTCGGCTCCTTTTGGTGTCGTTGCTTACGAGAAGAAAAGAATGGGATCGTATACCTATCCAAACATTATGCAATTTCTTTTGCAAGTGCTTGCTCAATATCCACACCCTCAAGACGCCAAGCCTAAGAGTAATGACGTTGATTTGTCGTCACTCGACGAAGTAGCTGCTCAGTCGCTTGTTCCGTACATGACCAAGAAAAACATTTATGACATTTGTGGGGGCCACAAGATTTGTGCAATTGGATTCTTCGAGGACCATTTGGATACGCTAAGAGACCCGGAGTCGCGTCTTACGAAGTGGTGGACTACATTCGTGCATGTAGCTGCTCGGAGCAAGGAGAACCACGAGCCATTTCAATTCATGTGGGTGAACGGAAAATGTCAAAAGAATTTTGCTAAAGCGTTTGGCATTGGCCTATTCCAAATGCCGACGCTCGCTGTGTATTCCCCATCAAAGCAGCGCTTCGCAACGAATGTGGGAGTGTTTGACGAAGAGAATGCGTCTGCGTTCTTAAAAAGCGTGCTGTCTGGCAGCATCAGCACTGCTCCGATCGGAGACGTTCCTGAGCTAGACGAAGAGTGTTCGTTCGACGAGATTCATGATGTAGCAGAAGGAGTTGATGGTATCACTGAAGACGACACAGATCTGGACGATATGCTGAATGAGATTCTTTTCGATGAAAAGCAGCAGCGTGACGAGCTGGAAAAGGAACTAAAGTCTGAGCTGAAGCAGCCACTGAAGCGCAAGAAGAAGAAGGACAAAACCAAGAAGAAAAAGAAGCACAAAACCAAGACAAAGATGTCGAAGAAGAAAACGGGACAACGTGACGAGCTGTAATCATCTCATTTGGACTCGGATTCATGCTAATGTAGCTGTCATTAAAGAAAAAATGAACCCATTTGGAATTGTGAAGCTCCTGTTTTCTCCGTAAACGAATAACCTCCATAATGAAATTGCATGGCTTGGCTCCCGAATTACGTATATTTTTATACCCTGTCCTAAATGATTAACTCTATAAATTAATAGTTTATTAAATATCTATTTAGAAAGGCTCGACGCAAGTGTCATCCTACCCTACCCCCTCATTAGCATTTTATTGTGTCTTTGTGTTGTCAATGGTACTATCCTCTTCGCGTCCTCCAGTCATTCTCACTTGCCAGCCAACCGAATCTCGAGCAAAGATTCCGATATTCCTTCGACTGAAAAATGGCCAAACGTACGTACAAATTAATGGAACTCGTGTCTTGAAACAGCCACGCATTGCAAGAATACATGTCGTCTTTATCCTTCTCTCTCTCTATGTACGACTCGTAGCAATTCAAGTGGTAGCAAATTACATGGAGTAACAAAGAAGACATATTGAAACAAGCTTAGCAATTACTTGGAAAGACATTGCACTACTTAGAGTAAAAGGAGGAGGATACAATTAGACACATCTATTCTATTTGATGCAGTGGTCGAGACTACGCTAGTACCAGTAGCTACTTATATTGAGCTAACGTTGTGCTGTATTGTACTATTTTGTGACAGACAAACCTTCTGGTATTCGCTGCGCTCGTAAGCTGCGCGTGCACCGTCGTACCCAACGCTGGGCACAGAAGTCCTACAACAAGAGTCACTCGGTGACGGCAATGAAAGCGAACCCGCTTGGTGGATCGTCCATGGCGAAGGGCATTGTTCTGGAAAAGATTGGAATTGAAGCCAAGCAGCCGAATTCTGCTATTCGAAAGTCGTGTCGTGTGCAGTTGATTAAAAACTCAAAGAAGATTGCTGCTTTTGTGCCACGTGATGGCTGTTTGAACTATGTGGACGAGAACGATGAGGTGCTGATCTCGGGCTTCGGTCGACGTGGTCACGCCGTTGGTGATATCCCTGGTGTTCGTTTCAAGGTCGTCAAGGTCTCGGGCGTGTCTCTACTTGCTTTGTACAAGGAGAAGAAGGAAAAACCGCGCTCGTAGGTTATATGCATGATGGCCTGAGAAGACAACAACTTGCTTGTAATGGCGTCCGTTGCAGTTTCATCTCATAATGAGAGAAGTCGCTGTGCTGCTCTAACAGGTAGTGCTCGTTGTGGGTAATTTCATGATGGAATTAGCTGCTTCTGACGGTTTGACGGCAGTTTATTATTTTCTAAGCACGTATAAGAAGAAGGAATCGCTTGCCAAGCACCATCGCTTTCTATTTGCTTTGTTGTGTGCTCTCGCAGGTAAATGTGTTTGAAATGCCGGTTCTCTTCGCCGATGTTGTTTATGATTCTTAGCAAATACAAGACGACATGACTACCTACGAATACTTACTGCTTTGAGCAATAAATGCACCACACATTCTCGTGCTTCGTAGTACATTCCGTTTGACTGGTTAAGAAAGACCTCATTGCTGTAGTTTTCACTCTTTGAAACCACAGACGATAATGAACATGCAAGTCGAACTGATCTCTGTTCTATCGGACAATTACGCGTATCTACTTATCGACTCGATGAATCGTACGTCTCTGTCTTCATTGACACAACACCTTTTATTCCTTTCGTCGAATTACCACTTAAATCTGGTACAGATGTTGCAGCTGCTATTGACCCTGTGGATGCTGAGAAGGTCTACAGCCGTGCGAAGGAGCTACAACTCGTCATTTCTCTGATCCTTACCACTCATTCACACTGGGATCATGCAGGTGGAAACCGCAATCTCGTCGGTCTCATTCAGGAGCGTGAAAACCGTCAAATTCCGGTCCTTGGTGGACCAGGAAATGCTATTGAAGCTCAGACTCAATCGGTGGCTGATGGAGACGTAGTGAAGCTCGGAAACCTTGACGTGAAAGTCTACTTTACTCCGTGCCACACTCGTGATCACGTGCTGTATCATTGCCAGGACGCTTTGTTTACGGGTGACACACTGTTTGTTGCTGGGTGTGGAAGGTTCTTTAGCGGCAGTCCAGCAGAGATGCACCACGCTCTAAATGAGGTAGTGGCCAACTTGCCACAGGAGACAAAGATTTACTGTGGACACGAGTATACAGCGAGTAATCTACGTTTTGCTGCACACGTGGAACCGGACAATGAAGTGGTGCAGAAGAAATTAGCGTGGGCCATTGAGAAGACAAAGTCGGGTGAACCTACGGTCCCGTCGACGGTGAAGGAAGAGTTGGCAACGAATCCATTCATGAGAGTGATGAAGTTGGCAGTGCAGAAGTTTGTGAATGGCGAAGAAGACCCCGTGAAAGTGATGAGGCTCATGCGTGCTGCCAAGGACAACTTCGTGATCGGTAAGTAACGATTTTATGGAGGCGAGACGGAAGATGGTCGCGTCACGAAAGCTGCACAACTGATCTACTTGCGACCCTTATGGTTTGCGACCGCGAGCTCCTTCATTGGTTTTAGTACACAGTGATTTGTGCCTTGCCCACCACACGTAGCCAGGATTTAAGCAAGAACATTCTGTTCTTGTTGCTGTTGAAGGTTGCGTGGGACATTGAAATTGGCTTTGGCCTAAGAAGTGCTCTGTCAGAATCTTGTTCACTTGGTCTATGAGATTGACATACTTGTTTTTTGCTGGCAATACCAGCACATGGTGGCCAAACCACAAGAGCTTCACGCACTAAAAGGTTAAATGTTTGGCTACATGCTTGCGCGTTGCAAACTTGTCACCCGCCAGTACAAGGTCTGGTGCTTGTGTACGAACATACGCTAAAAAGACTTTCTTGAATCTTGCCAACGTCTTGAGCACCTAGCGCATCTATAACAATTTATAGACAACATAATCTAAGCACCCAATGTTGATTGCGTCAAACAGATGAAGCCGAGTGATAAGTTATAGTGGTGAACCTCGTACAAACGTCGCCAAATTATTGTACTTGTTATAGCTGTTGCCATTCTCCGGAACGATCTTAAGGATCATGTTGTCTTCCACTGTAAGTCGTAATGAGTTTGACGCGATCGCAGCCCATAATTTGCTTGGTTGATGCAGCTAGAAACCCACAGACATATACCCAAGCGAAGAACCATGCTTCTGAGATTTTTGAGGAAGGTGGAGCTAACACAGCTTTTGTGAATGGTAGCAAGTCATGAAGTTTATGACGTTGCTTGTCATTGATCTCTAAATGATCTGGAAACATTGTTGTCTACAGTAGAGCTCATGGACGCCTTCTGGTTGATCAGTGTGTCTAATGTGATCTACAACTTTGCGACGACAAGTCGGTCGAAGTCCAGATTCTTCGTATGAGTCTAGATTGACATACCAGTAGTATCTCCAGATATTTTCGCACCCACAGCTTGCAGGTGTATAACATTGAGTCTCGAATTAAGCTCCGAGTACTTCCTCGCCAAGAGGTTGTGACTGTAAAAATACAAAGTCAACAACTTACGCTCTCTCGATGATGATGATATGGTGCTTCAACTTGAATATTGAAAGCACAACCCACGACTTGTAGATGCTCCTTAGATGGCATAACGAGCTTTGTTAGATCAGCTGGGTCAAAGTCTAGACTGTCAAGGTCCGGAAAGATCTAACAGGCTGGGTAAAAAGCTTAAGCTATATGAGCATCTTTTCAACAATGCAGCAGATGGATCTCAACGACCAAATCAAGTCGACTAGCAGCATGCCCTGGACCCCAACTTTACGTCTGAGACCGCCTTTCTTAGCGACAGATCACGAAAGCGTTCCCTACTTGCACGCAACACTCGTTCAGTTCCATGATTTGTTTGAGCCAATAAAACATTGCTTCACACTCCCGTGTTTGTAAAAGTTCTTTTTGTCCGGTTGACGTGATAGCAAGCTCCCACGTCGGTGCCGGCGGTCATCGATGTTGCTTCTGGAATGTACTTACGGGTCTTGCAACTCACGTGTCATTGTAGCATTTGTTTCGAAATCACTCGTTCTCTTGCTTTGGGTCTGCTCATTGCGTTGTGCTAATTTGGGGGTTTGCTGGAGCTTTTTCTCAGGTGTCTGCTCGTAAAGGGCACGGCACGCTACTGTCTTGAATTATCCACACCTTCATATCCGTTTTGCCAAAAGATATGCTGCAGTTAGTAGCAAAGCTACCCAGCGAGGTTTCTACCGACTGGTAAGAAACGGGTTTACACCGATGTGGCAGCACTTTAATCACATTGACACCAATTGGTAAGAAACGGGTTTACACCGATGTGGCAGCACTTTGATCACATTGACACCAACTTCTAAAAATGAGAATCGCTTCGCACGAGATCGGTCATTTTTTATCTCAGAAAGTGTCGTAGTGTACGTTTTCACGCGTTGTCTCGTAAAATGGGAGGAACGAATTGACTCAATCTTTCTTCATCGTCATCATCATCGCTCCATGTATCTTCATCACCAATTGCAGTACCAGCATTTAGTCCATCATGTTGCATATTGTCATTGCCACTGGCATCTTCTGCCATGTCAGGATACAAATCGACGGGTGGAGGCTTCCACTTCATGATGAGTCCATCTTCACCTGCTGAGTAGAGCTCACGTGTCGATTTCCGATACAGGCATGCAGTCACCTGTTGATAATGAGCTGAAGCCGACCCTAGTGGAATACCGTTATCTCCGAAAACGCGGTATGAAGCCACTGCACCCTCCAACCCGTTCGGAATGAACATTAGCGTTGTTTCGTAAGCCTCGCCTTCTTGAGCAACAGCCATTTGTACGTTTCTCGAAGCACGAGGTTGCGTTTTTTGCACACCTTGATAGTTCATAAACTGGTGTTCGCCTGACGTCGCATTCCACAACCTGAGCTTTTCGTCCATACCATTACTCAGCAAAAATCTTCCATCCGGCGTATACACTAAACTTGTCACACCTGCATTGTGAGCAACCGCCAGCGACGTACTCGCTGCAGCATGTGGGTCGTTCCGCTTCTGCCTATTGATAGAAGCATACATCTTCTTCTGATGACTGTCAACTCGCAGTCTCGCTTTTTGCTGATCTCTAGCTTGAGCCTCGAATGCACCACCGATTCGTTGTCTTTTTCTCGCTGTAGCAGCAGTCGACACGGACATTGGTTTCTCTCGTGTCACATTAGTGTACAACTGGGATCTTCCCGGTACATTCGCCTTTCCTTCGTAATTCAAACATAGTAGACAAGCTGTTGCTCCAGATCGTCGGATATCCCAAAGACGAATTTCGCCATCTCTTGACCCCGTTGCCAGTACAAATTCACTAGTTGGTGCCCAATCCAATGTCCAAATTTCGTCTTTATGACCTAATAAAGTATGAGCTGTGGCATTACTTTCCATGTCGACAAGTCTCACTTCTCCAGTGGCAGTAACAGCTGCAATTAATGCATGAGTTGTACTCACTGCAGAGAATTTTGCTCCAAAAACTTTACTACGTAATGGTAACGTACTGACACAAGCAAAAGTTGTTGCATCCCAGATTTTTACATGTTTATCTAAGGAACTTGTAATAAATAGACCTCCATCGATAGGATACCAGTCAACCATTGAAATACCAAATTGAAGAGTCTGGGATTGGCTCGAGTCTGTTTTCGCCTTAACGACGCATAGAGGATCTAGTGTAGTAGTAGTGTTGTAAGTAGGGTTACACACCATATCAGCTTCATCTAGGGTTTGAAGATCAAATACCAACACTTGCGACTGAGAAGTACCAACTAAGAGATATCGCTGCTCCATTGGATCTAATCGAAAGCTCCAGACGCGCATTCCTTGACGAAAAATAAAATTATTGGTGGATGGAGAGTATCGTAGTAGCTTACGAGACTGTTGAGAGTGCAAATTATCACAAAAATTACGGCTTGGTAGCCCTATACTACGGTCCAGGAGGTACGCAAAGGCCGACGTCATTTATCTGCGAGCGTTGCGATGAACAACGACGTTTCCATAACATAAATTACTGTGAAATAAAATACCGAAAACGACTTGTAGCGATATATTACTATGATTTCTTAAAAAAAGAGATTGTAAAATACACGTTAGGTCTTAGATACATAATTGTACTCCGCTGTCCTTATAGAGGATTAAGTAACACAAATGCTAGCGTCAAAAGTTGATCGTTTGCTGCAGATTGTGGCGACTCGAGGGGTTCCAATTCCCAAGTTGTCAAATCAATTGCTGCCAGTTCGCAATGTAGTGGCGTTCTCTGGAGGTGTAGACTCGTCGTTGACGGCTGCATTGGTGTTTCAAGTATTTCCTATTACAAGCGCCGCATGTATTGGGAGATCCGCAGCTTTGTCTTCTGTGCAATTTCAACAAGCTCGGAAGGTGGCATCTCACATTGGAATGCCACTATGGGAGTGTCATACAGATGAAGCCAAATTGGAGGCTTACGTGGCCAATAAGGGCAAAAGTTGCTACTATTGCAAAACAACCCTTTACTCAACGCTTAATCAGGTGACAGAGTTTGCATGGAAGGAATTGCAGCAGCAATTGGATGTACAAGGAGAGAAGATGAAGCCGGTGTTGTATAATGGCACAAATGCTGACGATCTCCTGGACTCTACTCGAGTGGGTTAGTCTACTTGATTTGTATCATGAAGGGGTATTGATATTAGTTAATTTTAATCCAAGGTTACTGATACAGGTTTAATGGCGGCGTCGGAGTTTAAAGTGGTGAGTCCGTTGAGTGAGCTAACAAAGCAGGAGGTGCGAGATATAGCCAAGTACTTGGGACTACCGAATTGGAATGCTGCGGCTTCGCCGTGTTTAAGGTCGAGACTGCAGTTTGGAGTTGAGGCGACTCAGGTGTGGAAAAATGTGTCGCTATTTTCTTTTGTTCTTTTTGCTGAGATTGATAGGTGTTTGTGTAGCAACATCTGCATCAGGTGGAAAAAGCAGAAGACTTTGTGCGAAACTTGATCCATCTTGAGCCACAAATGAGTATGCGGGTGCGCATTCTTGCAGGCAACAAGGCTGCGGTTGGTAAGTAATCATACTTTTATGGTGAATCTTCGGCTGAAATTGTTCGTCCTGCAGAACTTGATAATGAAATGCTGGAAAAAGCGGTTATTCACTTTGACGCCATCGATGCTGAACTGCGACAGCTTGGTAAGTCTTTTGCTTGTATAAATTTCAGTTGTATTTATTGAAACGGTCGTGCAATCTTCGACTACAGGGTTTGACACAGTGGATGTTCGCGCCTTTCGCTCTGGTAGTTTGAGTGGCTTTAGTGCGAGTGCTGCGCATGTGCATTATGTCCCCGTAAAATAAACCGAGCAACTTGCCCGACATTCTTCGCAGCAGTAATCACTACGCGTTTGCCTTCACAAAATGGTGAAAAGAGAAAGATGCTTACGTGGACCGTCAAAAGGATCCGGGGGTTAGAGATGAGTTGTTCGTCCCGCCATGCTCGCGTACTGATGCTATTATATGAGCCACCACAATGGACACAGAACTGTGAAGCAGAGTTGAAATCACAGTGCCGATCATGAACACCGAACTGTGGAGCAGAGTTGCCGATCATTAGACCAGCTATGAACTTTCACGTCACAGCCTAGAAAAAGCGTAAAGCCGTTTCCAATGATTTTTGACAGCTACCATGATGGAGAAGAGAGTAGCTAGCATCGGTCGGGGGGCAGGGGAAGTCAAAAGTGGTCCCAACAACTCTCCTAGCCGGCTTTTCTTCGATAGGACTTTTCATCATTGTGTAGCCGGGGTTTGTGACAGGTCTGCAACGTTCTTTATTCGACATGAAGCATTGTGAGGAACAATGTGCTGGTTAAAGTTGACTTCATAAATGAGTTGGAGTGAATACCTCAGTCGTGGCTTGTTACCTGATGGCTGATCTTCCGTGTTGGTGCAGTACAACGACTTTTGCGCACAATCACAGCACCACTGAGCAGTATTTGAAGCAAAGATTCAAATACTTTGAATGTTGAGAATGAACTTGGTAGAATCATGGACAATACTTCGAAGAATCTATATGATGCCTTCAGCAAAACGTCCATCTTGATCTTGAGTCGGTTGCTCGTCCTCTTCTATATAAACAAAGGCGTAAATGCCAATCATCACGAATCGAGTGTACTTGACCCGCCAACAAAGTGCTATTTGGCGATAAATTGACCATGACGTCGTGTAGATTGTTCCATGCATTGTTAAGGTTGACATCTTATTGTTCTACGGCGTTCAGGTTGTAGCCTGCGTCATGCTGTAAAGTCGGCCTTGAATGTTACTAGTCTGAAAGCTCGCGTTTTCTTCATCCCATATCTTTTCGTCGGTATAGAGCTAAGACGTCGATAGCATATCGACCATCGAAGCAAGGATGATGATAATAATGATAATTCCAGGAACAAAACCAAAGCTCATGATCGAATATAAGACGCGTAGATAGCTGATGACGAGAAAACTATGCTATTAACAAAGACCTACTGCTGCAAGCATGCACGCTGGCTGACTTACACCTTCAGCGCGTTCAACACTTGATTACTGCACTCGACTCCCAAGTACAGGGCTGAATACTTACCACACGATCTTGAAACTGGGGCAATGAGCAACAGCGACACTAGTTGCAAGTCCCTATCTGCACGTAGCAAAAGTAATGCGAAAATCAGCTCAGCTAACGCTTCAAAACAGACCCAAGGTATTGACACGTATACCTGAACATTTACATTACATGAGCGCCATCAAGCACACTCTGGAGGCAACTTTTATCCTCCATCAAGCCAATAACGGAATTATGGATCATCGCTCATCGATCATATGACAGATGTGCTCGAAACTGATTATAATCAGGAGTTGATGAATCAACTACAACAGCGAACACGGTGCTTCGAGGAATAATCGGCGACCAAGGAATGCACAACAATTGATACAGAGTATGTCTCAACGCTACGAGCCCATAATCCTGATAAATCTCCATGTGGCTACTCTAGAAGCTGGGTCGCTTCGTGCAAAGTCGCTGGACATGGAACGTCACAATATTGTTGAAGTATCAAGCAATGCTTTAACCTCCTAGAAAACCAACTAAACACTATAGAGAACATTGCTACTATGACAAATACCCCGGCATCGATTGCCTCATTGGATATTCCCATCCATTCTCTCATACTCATCAATCTATCAACTGTAGTTTCAGAGTTACAAGACGTCATTTGATAAGACTGTTTACATCTCGATCAGGCTCCAATCTTTCTTCAAGACGCCATTCATCCGCTTTACTTTAGAATCTGTCTTGCCTGTTCAATACCCATACAAATATCAAGTCAATAATGTCAAACATCCTTCAGAATTTTCATTTCAACGCACCACGAAACGTAAATCTGCCAAAGACTTTGCCGTGTTTGAGGTCAGGGGATGGAAGAATGCGCACCACTTCCCAGTAAGAAGGCTCTGCATATTTGGACCAGATACCACGTGTAACTCGCTTACCTACGCCAAAATTCCGCACGGGAGTCAGCACCTGGAAGGCGTTCTTAAACCCCGTGGCCATGGCTGACATTAGGTCTTTTGTATATTGAAAGGCGACGAAAGACGCATTTAATATCAACCAATCCGGTATGTTTCTTTTTGCCTTGAGATAATTGGATTGGATGAAATAGACTAGAAGAAAAGTACGCGTAATATTGCTCACAAGCTTGTCCGCAAGCTTATAACTTGCAAAACAAAGGGCCAGAATTCCGATCAGATCATGATACGCCAAAAAGAGTCCTATCGTGGGTTCGTAGAATTAACTGCTATACAATTGCTATATTATTTTGACAAATGTATACTTATTCGACGAACATCTGTAACATTTCCGTGTGTCCATTGAAGAACCCCTTGACTTCAAAGTTGTTCATTCCCGAATTAGACGAGACCCAGACAAACCATGCGCTTCAGCTTGTTTCTTCTGCTCGTGACTCTCACCTGCATCGCTTGCGACAGTATCGTCGCGAGCTCGAAAGACTTGATCCAAGTCAAGACTTTGGATACGAATTCCCCACGCGAGCGGACGGATGGAAGAGGTCGCAAGCTAAGAGAAGAAACAGTCGAGGCTGATATCGCTGACGTGGAAGAGAGGATGGCATTTAATGTACAATGGATGGGGGCTGATTTAAAAGGTTTGATGTCTAAGGTCCAAAACGCGTTGAAGTGGTCGAACGAAAAGATCAATTCTTATGTGAAGATCATGAAACGCCTTTATCAATCGTTGCTCAGTAAGTTTAAGAAGAAGCCACTGGCTGAATTTCCGCGTCCAGCGCGACCCAAAGGAGCAAATTCTTAAACCAAGGGGAAATATAATGATTGTACATAACAACGAGAAATAATGTAGACCCTTTTGCGTCACTATCACTTTGCACTGTTAGACGTAAAACATTAGCTCTTTCAAGACATACTAAGTATGCCCCTGTGCACGACAGTAGACCGCATTTTGGTGTGGCTGTCACGTTTGAATCGCTAATGTCGTGATAATGAATTATAGCATTGTGTTGGCTAGCATCAAAGTTCTCACTTGCCTCATGCTGTTCAAACTCTTACTTACGTTGTGTTATCCAGAATAAGAAGAAATACTTAAACAAACCGGACAGTCATAGCCAGAGAGTGTAATGACATCGATCGTCTTTTAATGAACATCTTGACGAGTGTCGCAGCCTCCTCCACCTTCTACATAATATTGGCCTGATCTGTAGCGTGTCGCGCGCCGCTGCCTTTTCCTGTTATCGCGAACACGATGTAACTCACCCACTTACGCGCGTCTAGCTGCTTTAGGTCAATGTGCTGCTGGCTCAATTGCGTGAAGCTTACCGTCATGTTCATGTCCAAGTCTATACTGTAGATCATGAAGCTGCCGTCGGGATGATCGTGCTCATGGCATCTAGCATATCACGTCCGAATTTCGAGACCGTAAAGCGTCGAACTTCACCACAACGATCTCCTGGTCAGCTTCCTTAGCCTTCGTGGCGTTAGCAGTAGCGTCGCGGTCACGATTCGCAGCACACAGCATCCTTTTGATCTTCTTGACGCAGTTCATGAGACCGTCCACCTCTATTTTCCGAAGCTTATACTTTAGCGATAAGTAGATCATGGCCTGGTCCAACACAGGATTTTTACAGACATGTGCTCCACGAGCTTATCTTGCGTCCCCTCCTTGTCTTGACGGCGTGGTTTATACGGAACGAGGAGCCGTTTCAGAACAAGCTGAGGGTGTATACGATCGAGAGCTTTCAAGCGTAGCTTATTTACGGGCCAAAAAGTAAAGCTGATTGAGAACACACTGTCGCATGTTTGCTACAGAACTGGATGGGCTGAGAGTGTGTAAGACAAGCTCCCATTTCGCGATAGGTGTTCTGACCCGGATGAAGGGAAGAGTTTGGTAGTCACGACTATGCTTTGGCGACTAAAAAAACTGTTGACGCAGAGCTTGCATTGGGAATTGAGACGATCAAAGATGCTCATTACGAGCTTTTGGTGTTTACCAGATTTTGTAAGCTTCACGACGAAGTTCTAGCGGCCTTTTCTCGTCAGAAGGCGTGGCGCTGATTCGAAGGACGCGTCGTGTGGTTGATGATAGCATTGGGAGTGAAACTTCACGATCTCTAGCTCTCTTAAGCTCGCACATTTGGCCGTCCAATGGCTGTTACAGTGGAGGATGTTGCTAGTGTTGTTACGATACGAAGTCGAGAGTCTATATCTCAGTAAAAAGAACTCCCACTCGCCTGGGGTCGAACAAGTATTCTCAGATACACGGACCTGCAAGATAAGGCCGCTGTGAACAAACAGTATAGTGATCTTTTTGACACGAATTTGATGTAAGTGGGGCTGCCGTAAAGTCGCGGTTATCTGTATGACAACGAGTCCTCTTGGACCCGAGAAGACTGCAGATATTTCGATGTCAATGGATTGAAAAACGGTAGCCTATGGACAGTACTTGTGTTGTAGTATAAACCGTTAAAAGGTAAAAGCGAGACTTGATATTCTTCACTGAAAACTGGATGAACGTAATGTTGATCCTGCTCAATCTGGAGCACGAGGCTCTACAAATTTGCCAGGAATCCCAACACTACTGTTAGCGCATTGAAAGGTAGGCATGTTGCTATCGGGCTTGTTTTGCATAATGAACCCTCTACGTGGTTGTCGCCTCTCTAGGTCGAGACGCAATTACAAGATGTAGAGACTAGAAAAGCGGTAGCTGTCCATCGACCAAATGGTCACTTTGTCGTCATGAACATAATGCAAGACCACGTCATTTGGTTGTCAACAAGGTAGTTAAATCTTTCTTGATTCAGTAGCAAAAGTTCCTTTGCGAGCGTACGGTTGCACAAATCGGTGGCATACTAACACCGTGCGCACAACCACAGGCGAGAAAGATGAAAAATCTGGTAATGAGCCGTCCCGACATTCCACAATATGTCTCATTAGCTCAGCGAGTTCTTGAGGTTACTCAGGATGGTATGAGTATACAAGTAGCGATACTCCGCATTACAGCCCTCTATAGGTTTCGCATACACAAACTAACTGATCCTACAGGGGGTGCAGCCAATTTTCTTGTAAGCGTACGTCAAGATCATGATAGTATTATAACATAAGAAGATGGATGAGGGGCAGAGTACACATTCTCCGAAAAGTGTCCATGAGAGACTTGAATCTATTTGATTTGTTCGCGCGTTCATTGTCATCCTAGAAAAAACTATATCGCGATGACAGGCTCTGACCAGCAAATTGCTTACTGCATCCTGGCCGTTCACTTTTGTCGATAGCTGACTGACAAAAAGGTGCCTTGTTTTTCCTAACATTGCTAAGATCAGCCTCATGTGATCACTTGTGTGCCGTTGCACCTAGTTGAGCTGGTATTGTGCACAGGTGCAATTCCTACGTTAGTTTAGTGTGCGTTGCGAAATGAATTCATGACGACAATGTGGCGAAGTAAGCGTCGCTCTCTTCCAACCAAAGTTGCTAAGGTTGGACGAATACCAGAAATGTCTTACAATGTGTCATTGCTATGATGAAGGATGCGATTGCAATACTGTAGACCTTTATCAGAGTTACCTACGAAGCGAGAAGATCGTCATTTCGATAGCGGACGCATGTGATATTCGCGATAGTATGGTCCGCATTATGTTGGCTAGACCTTGCACAATCTTGTGGTGTCACCACAACCTGGTATCCAAAGTGCTTATTAAGAGCCCGTGTAAGAGCAAGATGTAGTAAAGCGTATTAAGTTTAGCCGCCACAGAGATTATGAAGAGTTATGTTTGCGGATACGACATGGCTTTCATGGCGTATGGCGTTGACTCGGTCATTAAGGTGCAAGAATAGTGAGCCACTTTAAATCTCAGCGTCTCTAGTCTGGTACCTCAACGAATCGTGCATGCAGTCGATGACGGAGAAGAAAGTGTAGATACGTATGAAGCCTTGTTTTATCACGTGTTCATTACTACTTCGGGTCAGCGTGTGGCTACCTAAGCTACGGCCGATTAGCGTTTCCACGTTGTGCTCTTCGAGTCCGACATCTCATATGGGAAGAGTGGTGCACGCGGGACGACCGAGAGTCCACGGCATGTGTGGACGGAGATTTTAGCGTGGCTCAGCGTCGTTTGCGATGCTGCAGTACCATCAAGGTCCACGGCGGTAACAGAGAGCCACCCGAAGCCTGGCAGCTCCAACTCAACGACAGTCGTGCGCTTAGGTTTCTTGTGTTTAGACTTGGTGAGCGCACTTTCAAGTGCGTAGTCCTTCAAGTACACATTCCTCGATAGTGTGAGTGGGCCAGTGAAACTCATGGCGTCAAGGCCACGAGGAGGTGAAAGGATACCACCAGCGTGCTTAATGAATGTGTCTTCGGCACCTATTTAGTCACAAAGGTTGTGATGCAAGGTATAGCACACGTCAGTCACACCGCTGTCAGAAAAGCCGCAAAAGTTAAACGTACGTTCAGTGCTTGTGAGATGGCCAGGTAGAACACCATACCAGGATAGCAGCAGCATATTCTTGTTGTTGTCGTTTCCAATAATTTCATAATCGAAGCGTGCAAGAGCACCGAGGAACAAAGTGCGACCTGAACGCACACGATAAGTTGTTACCTAAGGAAAGCACAAACCACAGCGATTGGGTGAATCATGAGGGTAAGAGGGGTCCGTGTGTTGTATAAATGGCATACCGGTAACTGCTTGGACGGAAACACGTTATTCAATTTAGCAGCACCGTCCATCGCAAGCACTTCGATAAGCTCCTGTCGCTTCGTGTCTATGATCAAACCAGGTGTATCCAGAATATTGAAAACCTCATTGTGCACCATAACGGGTAAGTACTGGACGGCCAGGGTCGTGCCGGGAAGCGGCGACGTGGTCATTTTCCGCTCTTCCTCCGCACTCGTCTCGATCATTTCTAGTTCCTTGCCTAAAAGCTCCCCATGTGGAGTCACGACGGTAGTTTTATCTTCCGCAAACGCTCTATTCTCCTTTTCAGCCTTTGTTTCCTCCGTCAAATCCTCGTCATGATTAAGCATTATCGCCGTCTCCACATTTTCCAACTCGGACAAAGAAACCTCAGTCATCTTCATGTACTTGCGATGGTTGTGTTGCCACTTGCGGTCCACTAGATGCGACAAGAATGAGTTCAGGAACGTCGACTTGCCCACATTGGCAGCGCCCACAACACAAATATCGCGACCCTCACGATACTTGGCCACATCCTCCACAACTTCCTTCATTCCAATCCGCTTCATAGCACTGATCAAATAGATAGAGATCAAATTCTCAATCCTTGCTTCTCTGTACATGCAACAAACAGTGCATTAGTCTCTCGTTTCATTCACCGTTTGATACAGCTTTGACATACTTGGCCTCTTGTTTAATCCTCCTCATCAGTCGACGAATACCCGACTTGGTAGGCACCAAGTCTCCTTTGTTCACTACCAGCATCACCGGCTTCTTTCCAAAAATGTGTCGTGATTTTGGTAGCAAACTTCCAGAGATGTCTAGAATGTCCACCAGTTGAATCATGAGCATGTCCTTGCTCCGGAGCTCCATAACACGCTTCTCGTACTCCTGATATGGCATCTTGGTGTCCGAGATCTTGCCATACTGAGTCATCTGGAAGCAACGCTCACAGCACAGCCGTTTGAGGTCCTTCAGATCGTGTACGTTGTGTAATAGCTGTTTGGGGAAATACCCGACCTCTTTCGGCTTCTTGTACTGCAATTCAATGCCACAGCCACTACAGGTCCACTTATCCATAATCAATACATGGTTCAGGATTTGATCCACCGTCAGTTTTGCCTTCTCGGTGTCCATCAAAGCATCTGCAGAATTCAAAGCTTGAAGAGATATGGACTGGTTGGTAGATGAGCTATTGCGGTGGCTAGAGAGCAAAGTAAAAGACGGTGGAAATGGTGTCGGATAGACGGACAACGCAGTTACATATTGGCGAGCTTGAAGGTGCTGCAAAGCTCTCAAGCTGTCACGCAAGCCTCGCGACACCAGTATTCGGACTGACAGCATCAATGCCAGTCAAATTGAACGGATGAAAACGGCAGTGATAATTATGCAGAAACGTTGGTGTGGTTAACACTATACTGATCTTGAAGCGTAACGATTGAGTGAAAGGGTGTACAAGAGATACGACTAAAACTTCTCGTGCCTACGTTAGAGAACTAATACTAGTTGACTACACATTAACTTCCTTGACAGAGTAGTGAAGTAAACGATAGGATTCTATGCTCTATCTACTTTATCTCCTAACACTCTCTTCTCCAAACAGTCCAAATGATGGTTGGTCGTCAGCTTACATGCTAGCTATATGAGCGATGGAAATAACGGCTGGTGCTAATCGCGATTGCACGTGTCCTTTCCTGACACCAAAAGCGTAATCGATATTTCCAACGCTCAACCTCTAACATTCCTCCTCTCGTACGCCTACTGCTCGTTCTCTCCACGCTTTCATTCCTCTCCTTAATCCTCCTTTAGCGTCCTTATTGTCCTTCTAGCCGATTCGCATGAGCTTCTGAAACCTCGCAAGCTTCATAGCGTCAAGTGCCTCCGTCACCAGCATCAGCTCCGACCTGAAATAACATGCGTGGTCACTCCGCGGCACGAAAAGTCACACAAGAACTTCGGCCGAGCATCGGCGTGCTTCGCCCTCAGCGACGACGTCTCACCGGCAATCTGACTACTCACTGGTTGATTGTCGACATGGATCAGCATCGGCACAGCCGACGCGATGCTGACTTCTCGTTCAGCATCTCACGAAGGCCAATAATGTCGCGCGCCATCTCTGAGGCAGCGACAATTCGGCCTCCATTGTCGACAGCGACACGCTACTCTGATTACGCGCTTGCCAGCTCACTGCCATGCCCTCAGGCGTAGGACGCCTCCATCCATCGGCTTCCTGTCGGCCTTGTCCACCGCAAAGTCAGCGTAGCAAAATGCTTCCTACCGTGGCGCTTGGTGGTGGTCCTGAGCTGGTGTCATCGCGATCTCTAAGCTTGCCTTACCTTTCAGGTACCGAGCAATTCTCTTGATGAGCTTCCAGTCGAGCAATGTAACGGGCTAAAAGTTACATGGTTCGTTAAGTATCGAATACTTAACGGGCAGGCCTAAAAGGGGTACGAGGTACCTTAGGCCTGCCACTTGGGTGCGGCACATCAACGTGACCCACCCTCGTGAATGTGATATATTGAATGGATTCACATTCAGCGGGATGACGCCCAGCTTGGACTAGGCGTCGTGGTGACATCACAGAAGGACGCCATGAGCGAGCTAAAATATATTTTAAGCTCGCACGTAAGGATACACTTCTAAAGAGAAGCGTCTCTGATCCTTGCATAATGTTGTAATCAGTAGTAAGAGTTATATATAACTATTTTTCTATTAAGATGATTCATTCTTGAATTTACTTATTACCTTCCAATGCGCACGAGAAGCTGAATAAGCTTTTGCGTGCCGTAAGTGAGACACTTGTTAGTTGTTCGTTGCGCGGATCGCTTTAAGCGGCCGGCAACGGTTGGTTTTGTGCTTTAAGCGCCGACCGACACCACCACCACCGCACGCGGAGGTTCGACGGTCTTATCGCTTCCTTACCTTTGAAGGTGTGTGCCTAGTAGGAAGTGGCAGCTTCTTTACATAGCGCCCGTCTACACTTTTTAGCACTAGTAGTCCTTTCCACGACCCGTCTCTCTTAGCGTGCGTGTGGATACGGATGTCTCTCAATGTGAATTGGGACACTTTTCTCACCTCTCTTAACATCATAAGTAGCTGGCAGAGTACTAGATGCAGGGACTTGGTAAACAAGCCCTGGCCAATCTTTAAAAATCGTCCTTCTCAGCAACATGCTGCTCAGTTGGAGCAATTCGAGGCGTTTGTGCTCATACAGCGTATAAACGCGTCCAAGGCAAACAGCCAAGCAGCGGCTGAGCCCATCGATAAGACTCAAAGTGAGATTTGGGTGAGCAAGCTCGGAATGAGGCGATCAACAGAACTGTTCGAGGAATGCCTTATAGGACAGCCCGTTCTACGATGTTCTGTGGAAACACCGTGATGTGTTTCCAGCAGAAATGCCGAGCCACCTACCGGCCAATTGGGGCATCAGGCACGAGATTGACCTGGATCCTGGCACCTAGTATTGTGTGACCAGGCAATGGCCGTTGCCGACGAAACAAGTCGATTACATCGATGAGTTCTTCGACAAGCGAGCCAAGGTGGGACAGGTACGTGAGAGCAAGTCGCCTCACTGCAGCCCGATCTTCTGTGTGCGTAAATCAACAGGTGGATGGCGCGTGGTTCATGCTTATAATAAGCTGAACACGGCCGCCATTCCGGCGCAAACGCTGATCCCGCGGAAAAATGTCTTGTTGAATTCCATGGGAAAGTCAACTATCTTTTCCGCGTTGGATCCGAAGGATGGCTACTATCAATTTCTCGTGAGAGACACCGATGTAGTCAAAACGGCAGTAAGCACCCCAAGCGGTACGCTGTGGTAGTGGCTTGTGTGGTGAAGTGCTGTTTTTGAGATATGGGGACCCCAGAATCCAGTTGGATTCGGAGTATAGACCGTGAGACAGGGAAAAGAGACTAGAGAGATAGGGATCTCGAGGGGGAGCGACCGTTGGCGGAGAAAAATCTGCAAGGTCCACAGAAGAAAACTCAGTATCAGGGTACTAGTTAACCGGTACCGAAGGGAGTTGACCATGGCCCTTCATTGGTCGACCCGGTTCCTCGTTTTTAGACCCGGGTCCCTCGTCGATAGATATGGTCCCTCATTTAAAGACTTGGGTCCCTCATCGGTCGACCTGGGTCACTCATCAGTCGACCCGGCCCCTCTTCGGTAGACCCAGTCCCTCCCCATCGGTCGACCTGGGTCAATCATCGGTAGACCTGGGTCTCTTGTCGGTCGACCTCGGCCCCCTCGGGGTTCAGCCATTCCTAACCAGTTGACACAAGGATCAGAACAGTCGACGCAAGTAATCAGAGATTCAGGCAAGGATAGAGTAAAGGAGTTAAAAGGATAGGACTATATTAAATACTACTCAATTTGCGATCTACTTGGCAAGTCTTCGTCGCGCTGTAAAGGAACTCTAGTCTGGCCACACGCCTGTTCCGGGGAAGGGATATATTTGGCCCCCCGTTGAAGACAGGCGTGTGGTCCGACACAAGTGCGAGCTGAACCCCACGTGGCACGACTCCGTCACCCAAGAAGAACTTGCTCTGAGCTACTCACTGTTCCGGGAAGGGATATATTTTTGCCCCCCCCCGTCGAAGACAGTTGTGTAGCGAAGTTCAAGTGCGAATAGAGCTCCAGGATATATTTGGCCTGTGAGCTCGTTCGAGTAGCAACACCCCCAAGACCCGCTATCGGAAGCGGTCTCCCTCACCTCAAGGTCCGGGAGCAAAGGAAAGATCAGGTGGTTGATACCCCTGAAACACGAAGGAAAAGGCCAGGAATAAGCTCCCTGAAGAATTTGGCTCTAAGCCCACTCTCGACAAGGTCGATCGAGTAGCCACCTACCGGCCCACCGAGTGAAGCATATCCACTCGAGGCCCCCCAGGTCTACCTCCCTCAAGGCAGACGTCTACATCTTTACCAAGTCCTCCGAAGAGTGCAACCCGCCAGCCGACGGGCACACAAGATGAGAGAAGGTTCATACGCGGCATCGGGGTACCCCCTCCGACAGTCGGCAGTCCGGCACAGTGAGTGGTTTGGGGTCTCATCATACAATTTTGAGAACCCACTCCACCACAATGGTGCGCGTGCCCGGATCTTCGGAAGACGCGGGATTTCACCGCGAGTCCGAAGAAGACAAAGATGTTCATGTCAAGAAGGAGCACAAGACCAAAGAGCCACTTGAAGACCGATCGACAGTAACTCAAGAGGAAACAAACAAAGGATCGAAGGACCGACCGGGCCTTGGGAGGGGCCCTGTCAACATAGTCGAGGTTAAACTTATTGAAGAAAACCTAAATACCCTCCATATGTCCTCGTAGAGGACATCTTGGGTCATGATGCCTATCATGATCCAGGGGACCATCAGCCGACGGTGAAAACCGAGAGGCTAAGGTCCCCCAACATACAAAAACAAAGATCGTGCACTCCAAGCCGACAAATTTCCGGATGAAGGCACCCAGAAACACCAAGTCGATAGGCCCCGAGAAGTCAGGACTGGCATCATGGTTAGACGCTGACGTCACGAGGGCCTACCACCAACGCAAGCTGAACGCGTTCCTAGAGAGCGACCCCGTCGCGAAGACCCTCGAGATCCGGCTGCTGGGTCAACTTACTGGGCCGGTGTCGACCCTACCACGGCTGCACTCCGTCAGGGACGCGATCACAGCGCTGGTCACCCTTCTTCGAGAAGCGAACATGGTTGCCGGACGGTTAGATCTGGACGACCTGCTGTACCTGGGATTCGACAGAATTACAAGGCGTTAGAACATATACGCAAGCGTCTGTCGATCCTCGTCGGTACCACTCCAGCAAAGGTACAACCACCTCTGACGACACCCACACAAACACGGTCCACGAACAGCCAGATGACGCTTCAAGACATCGCGGTCTACCCCCACATGTATGGAGCCGTCGTCGACCCAGGGGCGAAGCATGTCCCATCCCAACACCTGACGTCAATCGGCCAGATGGCAGCAGCTCCGTGGTCCCCAGGATAGTCCTCGAATGGATCGGTCACTAGGATGCCCCTGGGACCAACTGGGGCGGCGCTGCTCCAGGCCCGAGCGCGTAGCGCGGAGCAAGAACCACGTGGTCTCGAATCGGCGACGCGTGGCGAAAATTAAAATCATTCCGA